GACGCGCTGACGTTGCATCGAATTTTCGATGCTCGTCGACGAGGGCCTGGAATCGATTCTGTACCTTCTTCCCGTCGACGACACGGCCGAAGTTCTCGCACGACATGAGTGTTTCCGCAAGTCCTTGCCAAGCTTTTCTGAGCTGCCCTTTCTCTGCAGCGAATGGAGTATCGGCTGCCACCTGCTTGAGAAGGGTGAGGTCGTCTTCTTGCGACCAGTTACGACGCTTGTCCGTGTGCGCCATTGAGCTTTGGCTGTTTCTGGCTATGGCACGACTCTCCGTACATTTGGCCGTTTCTGTGGCAACCAAAATTATGATTCAGAGGTTTGCCGTAGAATTATCAAGTGACAAAGGTTGTGGCTCTGGCACCGGCAACGGCTCATTTGCGAAATCTCTCTATTGTTGCTGCAGAAAATGCGTTCTATGAGTTGCTGACTGACACGCTTGCAAAGACTTTCGTAAACCTCACAAAAAGTTATGGAATTGTCCATTGAAATACATGGCGCAACGAGTATAAGCTTCGTCACATGAAGAAGGACGCTCTCATTGCAGACTTTGCATCGTATAATGTCGAATTTGACACCTCGTCCTACGAGAGCGCTTTGGCTCATTTGAATAGCCGACTTGGTGAGGAGGTTCACCTCGATGCCATGGTCAAGTCTCTTGAATGAGACATTAAAAAAATACAATAAAATTTTTGGTGCGGGTTATGGTGTTTTGGAGTGGCATACAAAAAGCAAGTCGTTTCAATTGCCAAGTGCATACTTTAATCAAGTGAAAATCTACCTGACAGCTTTTGTGGAACGGAGTAGTATCTCAGCCAAATCAAAATATTTTTCAATGGAGTCAAAGAAGTGTTCGTTTCATTTTACCGGATACCTGGTGCGTCGGATAGACTGTTAAAAGCAATATTGTTTGAGATACAATACCAACATATTTGGGAATGATAGTCAATTTCAACCGTAAGCTACGATATCATGTGATATTAGGTTTAAAGGGTTTGACCTGTGCATAAACATACTAGTACACGTTTAACAAAAAACGTAATTAAGCGGTGTTCACATACGGCTGTCGCACGTCCAACTTGGTTTTCACGACATAATTCCATGACTTTGACTCTTATGAATTGAGACCAGTGCCAAAATGTGCGTCAATCATGACTGATGTAATAATGGTATGCTATGTGTTTCAACAATTTCGTATCTTCTCAAAACTTATTCGCAAAATAATGGATGTCACATGTACTAGTGGCGCGGACTGTGTCATTTATCAAAAGTTTAGGAAATACTCTGTAGTGACGTAGAATCGAGAGCTCTTGGCGTGGTGAAGAAATTCTACAGTACGTCTCAGATTTAAATATGGTGAAGAATTAATTAGTCATGAAATCGACATTTAACCAAGCGGTATTTTGCATGGGCGAATTGTGAATTTGGCCAGAGGGATGGCCACTGAGATATATCTTGATCTTTGTAAGAGACACGTATCCATATATCATATCCAGAGGAAAATGGACTAACTGTAAAGTGATAAAACGCAGGAACTCGGGATTTACAGTTAATACTGATCTCCCCCCTTACTGTTAACAACGAAACGGGGGTAAACTTGATAATTTTGAAACTTTATATTATCCAACCATATGAAGACTTTTCAAACTCAAACACTTGAATCGTTTGACATTGAAATGGATGACATCATTTCCAAAGATGACGGACAAGCATGTTTTGTATTCGGAGCACTTACAGTGAACGAGGAGTGGTTCGCCTAGCGAACTTCTTTGACATGCAACTAACTGTATTATTGACCAATAATATTTCAGTAAAACATTGAAGAGATGTGATTGGATGCAATAATATTCTCCCACCGGCGCGAATTATTTTGAATCCAAAGACCCTCATTCACGAACCGATGAACTCAACGCTTCGCAGTCCAAAGCGCGCTTATCATTATTGTTGCCGTAAGGCTTGAGGCCCTCGTCCTGCTTGAAACTATGTCGGACTACGAAGTGTCTGAGCAGCTTGAAATACGCAGAAGAACCATTCCTTCTAAGCGAGATGACATCCTGGCGTACGAAGGAAACAAGAAGCGTATGACAATCAACCCTGGAGGACGACGGGAGACTTTCCCTGACCCAACTGGGCTTGTCGAGTTTATTGCGGAAATGCGAGATTGCGAACGGGCATTGACCACGACTCACATTATCAACTTTATCAAGCGCTATCAAAGCGATTGGTTGCGCGTCTACTTTGCTGATAAGCAGCCAGGTACAGGATACCATAGCCCCCTCCGTCTGCTGCAGCAGTTCTGTCATCGCCATGGATACACTCACCAACGCGCTCGCCACCGCAAGCAATCACGTGCTGATCTTGCTAAAGTTCGCGATCAGTTTGCCGAGGACTTCCATCGCGAAGACAGCGCCTTCGATGCCGACACCGTCTAAAATGTTGACGAGACGCGATTCCACTACGACATGCCAACCAGGCACATCTGGTCGATTCGTGGTGGGGGGATGCGAAAGTGTCCTCAGGCGAGAAGCACATCTTGCGAATGACAGTGGCTCTTACCGTGCGTGCGGATGGTACGAAGTTGCCGTTGCTCTTTGTGGTCCGCCGTCTGCCTGACTGTCGCATTGAAACCCACCAGTTGCCAACGTTGCCCACTGGACATGTCTACGCAGTTCAACCAAAGGAATGGATGGACAACGACGTGTTGAGTCTGTGCCTTCGTTCATTGCTGCTGCCCTGCATGGAAGCGACGTCAGTAATCTTGGTCGACAACTTTGAATCACACATGAGTGACGAGTCCTATCACATCTTTCGAGACGAACTGAACAGCCTTATGGGACCTTTGCCTCCCAACGCCACGTCAACTTGCTAGCTGCTAGATGTAGGGGTGATGGCGGCGTTCAAGCGGTTCCTGCGGGACGAATGGTTGGTCGAGGAGATCATTGATGGCGATGACGAGTTTGACTCACCTTATGCTGGGCAAAAGCGACTTGCAATGATCAAGAGAGCGATTATGGTGTGGGAGAAGTCCAGTGAAGATGTCATTCACCAGAGATTTGCCAAAGCGATACCTTGGGCTTGATGATGATCGTATCACCACAGCCAATCCTTGCTACTTGATTTAAACATTCAATTAATATATGATTGGTATGGTGTGTATTGGAATTTGTATTGATATTAATTTGATTGGAGCAATCTTTGATCAGGAAAAAGTTTGACACTGACCGGCCCCCTTTCTCTATCTACTTGGATACCGTCGCACTAACCGTTGCGCCGCCGCGTCAAACGATATCTTTAACCCGGCTTCTTCGTATCCTTTGAATTTAATTCCCGACATCCGCAAGAATCTATGTCCTGCTGAACCAAATGCTGACTCTGTTCCATTACTATCTGTAGCGTGCTCTCATTTTTCGTAACCTGTCACAACATTAAAATTTCAATCCAGAAAAGAATTAAAATGAAAGGACTGGCCATCATTGGCTGAAAAGTTTGTCGTACTTCGAAATAAGTTGGCCAATCGATTGCCCGAATTTTCAGACACTTCGAAGTACCACGTAGGCGAACCACTCCCTCGTTGACTATAAATAATCCTACCACCACGTACTCCAACTTGGCTATATGGGCTGCTCATGAGTTTAACCTTGCGGCCATGCCATCAAAATCTACAATCGGAAATGCCCTCAAATACCACGCGACGCAGAGCAGTAGGGCCGACTGCAAAGTCCGAACCAACGACCGCCGTTCTAGCCTTCCCGATGTCGAGTCCAAGGTCGTGGAGTGGGTCCTTCCCCGCGAAGAGCTCGGTGTTTGTCTCACCGGTGAGCTCATCCGCAAGCAAGAGCTCTCGGTTTCTGCAACCCTGAAAGTTCCTGCCGATCAGCGTCACTCGTTCTTAAAGGGATGTGATGTACAAGTTCCTAGGAAACACGGACTTACCAGCAAGCTGCAAGATGACGAAGCTGGATCGACGCCACCGGAGGCGGTTCAAGCAGGGCGTAATGAAATGCAGACCATCACGAGTGGATACGAGTCTGCTGACATCTACAACATGGATGAGACCTGGTTTTTCTACTGCTTGTCACCACACTACTCGATTACGCGTAACCGTGTACCGGGCACAAAAAAGTCCAAGAAAAGAATCACGCTTGCTCTTACCTCGAACGCCGACTGCAGCCACATGGTGGATACGCTCTTCATCGGCAGCGCAATGCGACCAAGATGTTTTGGCGGTCAGACTGGCGCTGAACTCAGGTTCGACTACCGATCCAGTAAGAAATTGATTTTGCTACGTGATATTTCCTGTAAAGTTCCACGATGAAGCCTTTCGATCTGATTATATTGGGAAATTCTTGATGAATATATTCTGTCAGAATTTCGGACTGGGAATACCTTTTCACACACAGTAGCCAATCAAAACACTTGAACATGCTAATTACCACTTTCGCTTCATGGATGAATGGCATGGTCGGCACCAAACGTAGTTGACAAGTAAAGGGCAGCTTTCAGTGATCGAGGGACAGAAATGGCATGTTGCGTATCAGTAGTAGCGGTACGTGATGTGACACCAACATTACCAACATTCACAGTGGCAGGAGTACGATTTGCATTGTGGCCACAGCGAACTGTACTATTATAATAGTATCAGACTGATTTTAGCCAATAGAACGTAATCCTTGTTCAACTAGATGCAAGGACATGTTTCAAGGAAATGTCCTGAATGCGAATAAGAGTATTCGTACTCTTGAGGCAATTTAGACTCTGTATAACCATTGACACGTCCTACTACATGGTCACACGTATACTGTAGTCAGCTAAGTATGACGGAAGTGTCTTCACCCGTTTAGTCAGACTCGTAGGAACCACAGAGTTACTATCACCCGGCGGGTGATTTACTCGTTTAGCAGTTACTCTCACTTGTGGAATGATAATCCAAACTCAATTGATCACTTGTGGGTACGACATCTGCTCAGACATCTGGTCACAATAATTTGTAGAATGATCGACTACGTCTAGTTGATGCTTCTCGGACTCGTCAGTCGAAGCACTACGAGTGTGCGCTAGTGCTGGATCCACAGGAGCCATTGGGACACCAGGGCGTTCAGGAATCAGTGCGACCACTGCAGCAGTCTGGGTAGTAGTTAGAACAGCCTGCTTAACCGTAAAGGCATGGTTGAGAACGGCTTCAACTTGTCAATGTCGAAACTAACATCACGTGCAATGAGGAATCGATTTTCAGAGACGTCCAGAAGGCGACAACCCTTGTAATTCTCAGCTAGCGACACCAAGGAAACGACACTTGACTGAACGAGAGGACAATTTCTTGTCTACTCTTGTTTGTGAAGGTACATGGGCATAACAAATTGAGCCCCATATACGAACGTGACTCATACTGTATCAGGCGAACAACCATGCACTATCTCATATGGTGTTTATTGTCCAATCGAACTACATGTGACCGATTTTGCACTTAACAAGCATAGATATAGGCCTCAGGCCACTAGTGCAGGCATTTGAGCATCAAGGAGGAAGCAACGCACTTTGGCAAATTTAGCCTGGTGGTCTCGTTCGGCCGAGCCGTTTTCTTCCTGACAATTTGGATTCGACTTTGGAAATGGATTCCTAACTTTCTATAAAAAGACTTCAACGTCTGATTATCGAAATCTCTACCACCATCAATCCGAATACGACGAATTATCGCGACACCTTCGCGCACCTTCGCGCTCGATTGCTACGATGAAGTCATTTAGCTTGGATAGCACTTCGGCTTTGTATTGAAACACAGAGCACCACTTATACGAGTAACGAATGTTGGGCGTAGAACCATAAGTACCAGCCTGCTTCATCGGTCCACACGTGTCAACGTGGTGGGGCCCAGCAACACGAGTAGATCTGGATCCTATTTCTGTACGACATACGGCAATGTTTGGCAAGTACACACGTTCTACAGAAGAACTTCATTTCGCTAAGATCAGTGCGAGTGAGGTGAGCACACCATTCGTCGATCCCGACGTCACTATACGAAATAATCCTTCTTTATTCACGTGTCCACTCCTTGAATAATGCCACGGATATCACAGGATCTGTCACTAGCTTTCTAGGTGGCGATGCCACTACTACACTATGGCACACCTCTTGTCGCGGCTGTAGTGAGTATGCACGTACATAATAGGCACCATGAATAACAGTAGCAACGAATTGAAGCTGGTTTGATCGAAACACATACTTGTGTGACCCGCAAGCGCTGTCAACTATACGATACCCAGTCCTCTTGAGGGTATGCTCACTGAGTATGTTGACTACAGCTCCAGGTACTTAGCGACTTGTTCAACGAGGAAATTGCACAGGCCTTTTGGAGTGTCAAAGCACAGGATGACGCTACCACGATGAGTGCTCTGGAGATTCTTTCAAGCTCCAAAACTAAATGTTATAGATGAATCAGGATTAAATTCACCATTATCTATCTTGAAGGCATGACGATTTCCCATAAGGTGATGGCAGCATTCACTGTCTAGAGTCCATTCATTGCTAGACAAAGACCGCTCAGTGAGTAGTCTAGGATAAGACGTACGTACCATGTCGTCCATTTCGACAGACACAGACTCCATTAGACCCCTTGTTCACTTACAAATTTCTTGATCAGTGATTGCCAATAATACTGTACATCAATATATATAGAATTAAAATAAGTAAATGTGATAGGATCGGCTAAAATCGAACTAACGTTGTAAATGACGAAGAGATTGAGCAAATGATTCAAAAACAATATGGCAACGCTATTCCACATTTACAACCTATATGACAATATCCTATACAACTGACAGTGAATATCTGCTGCGACTGTACACCAAATAAATACCTACTCGGAGTAGCGCGTAGTGATAACTCACAATCACTTTTTTGAAGAAACCTATGGACTCCTTTGCTATCGTGTCGTGTCTCCAACAAGTCGACGACGGCGTTCACGTTTAGACCTCTTGTTGGATGAGATGAGCCAAGTCTACCACACTCTCTCCTAACATGTCGAGGAGGCCGATGACTCCCCCACTGGTCTTAGTGAGACTCGAACCCGGGTGATAGCCATTGCAGAATGCACGTTTTGTGTCTTGAGGTACAGGTTTCTTTAGAACTTCGAACAAGAATGGAATTTCGCGGTGGTCCCATCACCAGGGAGAACGTTCGTCCGTATAGCTACATCAACTGATGCAAATACTAGCCCCAAAAGTACATATCTTTTGGTGGGCCCTTGATGGTTCAAATGTTCCGTACTCTAAGTGAACAATAGGTCTATTATACGTACTAGTATGGACCTCTTGTTCTGCTACCGTTTCGTGGTTTTCAAAATCATATGTTTTATTGTGATCATTCAAATGATAACTTCGGCAATCGACAACGAATTGATTCAATAACATTAATAATAATGAAATAAATGAGCACTTATACACATCTTAGTCAATGCCTTGATGGATGATCACTAACCACGTTCTGACTTGAAACTTCGTCATGAACAAGAGGTCTATTGAGCCAGGGACAGCCTCCATGCGATGGCTGCAGGGGGAGTCGAACGGAGTGGTGACATAGGCATCTTCAATGCCAAGGTAGTCGACGAGTGAGCTGTCACCAATGCCTGGCGACGTTGCTTGTGGCCGTGGTACTTAGTTCGCGTCAGCGGAGTGGGACCGGGAGTGGGACTTCGGTGCGACTTTCCATCCGGATAGTACCACATGGACTTCGGTCGATGACTTTTTCCCAGGCAGGACATCCAGATGTTTTTGTGCGAGTAGCCGTAGGACTCCTCCTGTGCCCATCTTAGGCACTTGTCCTGGTTGTGGCCGGATTCACCGCAGTAGAAGCAGAGCCCAAAATGAGGATCAGTCCTACTTAGGACACCAGGGAAAGCAGCTTTAGGACGGTTCCGGTTAAAAGGAGGCCCTTGATTGGTCGATCGTTTCTTCTCATTTCTATTCGTTGAAATCGAGTTGTAGACCATTTCCGAAGGCGCTGATTGGCCAGCCATCTCCAAAATACTGTAGCCCGTTTCGAACGCTGGCCAAAAATACCAACAAGAATTTGCTCTATGGCATTTACATTGGAAGTTTCAGGGGTGAGTACTTCACTTGAGCAGTTCATTGAGAGCCAGCTAGATTAGTAAGTCATCAGTGACACTATCTCTACTAAGATGTTGACGGGATTGAGCATTGATGAGGTTCTTTAGAGACTTTAACTCTCCAAACCAGGACTCAATTGAGTCGAATGACTTGTCATCTATGCGAATTAACTTTCCCACAAGGGCAGTTACGGGCGCAGCATCAGGTACGCCGTAGCGTTTTTGCACCTCAGCCCAAAATTCATGCACAAGTAATTTGGAATCGCTACTGTCACGTTACTGTTGAACAAAACTGACTGGGAGTAGTTGGACCAACAATGACCGAACCTTTTGGCTCTGCCGATCACGATATCATTTCACAGATTGCTTGTCCTTCTCAGACGTATTTTTCTCAGACTCTAGCATAGAAGGCTCTAACACAAGCCAGTCCTCGTACTTTGTAGTCGGTTGAGGTCGCTTCTCGGATTCTCCGATCCATTGCCCCATTATTTCAATAGTAAGACCCTCGAGGTGGTTCTCAAACTTACGGGACCACACACGGAAGTTGTTCTTGTTCCCATTGAACACGAGCAAAGAGATATCAGAAGTAAACTTCTGAGATGCAGCAGACGAGCTCATACTTGAAATATCAGATCAAATAGAGCGAGCACACAACAAAGGAATAGACACAGGTGCAACGGATGAACACAATGAAGACGGGCTCAGTGTGTTGGGGACGGCGCAATTTGACTTGTGATGAGCTAGAGCTCTTCAGTGTCACCAGCATTACATCACAGCCACAGAATGAACAGAGTAGGGAAACCAATCAAAATAGTTGAATCTGATTGGTCAATCATAATACTCCATTCTGATTGGCTGATGATTATCCAAGCATACTAACACAAGCCACTGCACTACCAAATATAATACACGTGTATTATCAAAGGAAAATCCACAGTATTTTCCGGATACACTTACCGTACTTCGTATGTTAAGAGAAGCCCCCACGTGTATAAATTTATACAAATTTAAAGAGGTTATCCACTGTATGCTGAAGTTCAAGTTGTGGATGTTAAGAGCGTCATACAAATTTCTAGATATCGATAATTTAGGCATTTCGTGACATAATTATCTGATATTAGAGGTAGTTGTGTTTGTATAG